AACATCTGGGGGGGGTACTTTATGGGAGGCCGTTTTTATATTTTATGGAATATATCTGTTATTTATATATGGAGAAGAAAATCGTTCAAATAAAAGTTACTCCTAATATTATTATCTACAATTTTTGTTTCATGTTAAATTTTCCTGAAATGGTCCGTATTCGAGAAATTTGACAAAATGTGAAAAATTCTGATTTTTAAGAAAATTGTTGAACTAAAAGTTGTTTGCGATATCAATCTTTATAATTTTTGTTTTTACATGATTTTTCTAAAAAGGACCGTAATGGAAAAATTGGAAGAAAAGTGCTAAATTTAAATTTTTCAGTATTTTCGTTTTCAATGAATATCTATAGAAAAATGTTTCGAGTTAGATGTATGTGAAAAATGTATATATTTAGTTTATCCTTTAAACATTTATAGAGGTGCTATAATAGGTTGTACAAAATATCAGATTTTTTTATTTTCTTCGCGGAGCCCCAGAGCTCCGAGTACCACACTTTGAGTAACGCTGCCTTAACGAATAAAATTAACTATCTACCAATTGTGTTAGATTTTGATTTTTTCGTAACAAATTATTAACAATTAATTTTATTAAAACAACATTTCTTTCATTTACTAGTTACGATTCAAATTTACTTGAATATGATTCAATTACTATAAATTACAACAATGAAAATGTTTGTATAAAAATGTCAAAAACAACTAAATACTATGGATTTATAATAGATTGTAATTTAAAGTGGAATGCACACGTAGTGTTGTAAAGAAAATTAGATTCCATTTAGCAAAATTTAAATTTTTAAAATGTTTTTTGGGTATTCCCTACTTAAAGATGTTATATTATGCATTAATACAGACGTATCTAACCTATGGTATTATCGCTTGAGGAGGTACGACAGATATCCAAATTGAACATTTACAAATAATACAAAAATGGATTTTAAAAATTATTTATAATAAAAACTATATATTTACCCAACGAAACTATTTTTAGAAGCAAAAATTTTGAATTTGAGACTACGAGTTGCAATATTTCAGAAGAAGCATATTTTGCTTAGCACTCCGGTACAACATTTATACCCAACACGTTATAAAAATCATGTGATCATCGTACCTAGAATGGAAAAGACTCTAGGGCAAAGAAGTTTTGTATATTTCGATCCTAAAATATTTAACGCACTTCCGGCGCAATTTAAAAACCTAAATTCTATAGGTCTTTATAGGTCTAAATTACAAATTACCTGCAATTATCCAATTATTTATGTATACAATAACTATAAAATAATTAATGATGTAGCTAATTTGTCTCTATAATAAATAAAACAAAATATAGTAAAAAAATGCTATGTAGAATATATTTTTTAAAATATCCCACGCACAAGGTTTGCCTTTAGTGGAACGAACCACTATTTATTCACATAGACAATTTTTTTTCTGTTAAATATAAGTTAAATTTGTAATTCGTTTCATAAATTATTATTACTATTAATATTATTAACTTTATAGTGCTTTCAAGACTATCACAATAATGCAAATGATCTGTGAATTTCGCAATCCAAATTCTTCTAATATCTGAGCACTTGTACCACGTTACGTTCATATACTGGTTAATTGTTTCAATCATAACGCACGTTACTCAAATTCCTCTTGTTTACGGTATGCCAAATTGAGGTCGGAGCCACGCTAGGAATTTTAGCATTTTCATATTGTAATTATGGTGGACTAAAATATATTCACAAATACGCATGCTTTCGACTAAAAACTTTCAAGCTTGCGGACAAATTAAATAATTTCGTGCAATAGTAATTTAATTAAAAAAAATATGTAACATTTAAAAGTATTATATGAATATACAGTGTGGTCCAATGAAAAGTATCCACACCCTTGCTCCAGAAAAAATAAACACATAAAAAATCAGGAATGTTTTAAAAATGTAGATATTGTAATAAAAGAATTACCTACAAAAGAATCTCAAAACAAGTGCTTTATGTTTGACATTGACCACAGAGATAAAGAAAATATTTACGAACCCTCAGCCTGGCTTAAATCTGTATGTTTCAGACGTTTTAATTTCCAAAAGTTTAACCAATACCAGCAAGGATATGAGAATTTTTAGTATTCCACCCAGCTAAATCTGCTCGAAGTCAGTGCAAGAACTTAGATACCCTATCGAAAAGACATAATGTACAGGAAAAATTCTTTGGTTAAAAATCTCATTGTAATGCACTTCAATATTCAAAGACTTGGTAATAAACTTGAGTCACTAAGCATTACATTAGACAAAGAACAAGTAGACATACTATGTGTAAGTGAACCAGAAGAGGAATTGAACATGCTCGCAAGAATATCGACAGAGGAGGGGTCTGTATATTTGCAAAAGATTACATAAACATTCAACCGATTTCGTTTACTTACTCCAGAGAACAAGCTTTCGAAGTATGTCTGTCAAAACTAAAAGATTATATATCTACAAAGTATTACTGAGCCTCCACCCATGTTAATTTTCAGGTTCACTGAGACTCCGCTGTTACTGGGCTTCCGTTCCTAAAACACCCATTAACACAAAAATCTCGAGGACGCCCATTTAAGCCGTTATTTGATGCTGTATAAAATATTAGTTCAAGCGTTCGCCGCTTATGTGCGCTGCTAATATACATTTCACTGTGTATATGATGTATACTTTTATCTATTAACTGGGCGCCTTAGGATATTCACTGCGCTCTTTTAGCTTGTGCCTTTGATTATATATACGTATTTAGAGGCTCGCTGGTTTTGTCTTTCGACTTGGATCATTCTAAAAATTAAAATGTATCAATTTCGATCTTGAACGCGACAAATACTACAGGGCGTCATAGAAAATAAAATGCCATAACAAGGTTCGCACCTTGATTAGTACGTATATTTAGGCATTATTATAAAAGTAACTAAATAAAATGAAAAGAATTCCAACTCAAATGTGAAATGTGACTAAGACGTAAAATAAAATAAGTACACTTTTTATTTTAATTTAGTATAGTTCTCATAATTCAATATAGAGTAAATCATCTTGTAATGACGTCATCGACAGTATTTTATAAATAGAACATCCTATAGTTTTACCAATTTTACAAGAACAGGCTACATATTGTATCAGGGATCCTTAATGGGCATTGCCGACTCAAAGGACACCTTAGTAAACTGAGAGTAGTAGAAGAAGATAGTGAATGCAGATTCTGTGAGGAGGAATACAAAACCTGCATTCACATTCTGACTGTATGTGTAGCACTCCAAAATCCAAGGGCACTATACCTAGGAGCATATCAAATAGAAGAGTGAGATTTACCTAACTTGAAGCCACTCAAGGAAGATATGACTGGAAGGGTCGTTATAGGCATTGAGATATTTCCTTGCTGCATTAGAGACAAAAAAAGGTACAATAAATATTTTAGGTCGCAGTGTATTAACACCCTATTCCCAACATAAGATATCAATTTTTAAGCTTCCTTTATTAAGCTGATTTCAAAATTGTATCACCACTTGCTTCAAATTAATACAAAGAATTGTTTAAATAAGGTTGATTTTTATTCCAAAGCCGACACATTTTTATCACATCCTAAACTGACACACGACATTTCTTCCTCCTCCGTCACAGTAACCAATACAATTTAAATAGAAAACGTACTAAGTATTACACATCAACACAAATGTAATTTAATGGATAATTTTCAGAAATGTGACTGTTTATAGTATTACTTATGATTTTAGCGCCCTTTAGCACGATAAAAAAGTGGTACGTATAGTCAAGTGTGACAGCTCATTTGAAAGCTTATTATAGTAGTAATTTAATGTGTAGCATAATTTTGTTAATTTGGTTTATTGGGATTTTCATTACATTTATTCTTAACCTTAATGGCAACAATCTATTTAAGTTCATGTTTCATCAAATTAAGTTTTGTTACGTTGTCCTATAAATTAATAAAATTGACTTTCCACTGAAGTGTCGTATTGGGGATTATTCATTTTCATATATCCAAAATTAAAATATACCATTTCGAACTTTTTGTGTGGAGTATAGAGATTTAAATAAATATAAGTAGTCAGTCTGATGAAGGAGAATTGTATTTTTTTTTGTTTGTATTATTATTATTATTATGTTTACACTCTTGAGACTCATTGCGATATCAGCTGTGCAGCGCACTACCTATTCAATAGCCTAACTGACGGTACGTACGACTTCCACCTCACTCCAACTTAAATTTATCCCTATTGGATTTGGCTTAAATGGATCGCGTTTAGATTTTTGAAGATGTATACGGTACGACTAGGCCTCCAGCTGTGTTAATTTTCAGGTTTACATAGGCTCCTTTTTCCATTATACAATGCGGATATAAAGTCCCTCCACCCCCCATTTATTTTTTGAACCGTAATGAGATATGAACCCATAAAAATCTTTGATTTTAAACGAGAATAGTACAGTACCAAAGGTTAAAAATTTGTGGTACACCAGTTGATAGCATTGAACATTTAAAACAAAGGATTCGTTATAAATAAAAAGAAAAAATCACTTGCCATATCTCATTTAAAATTATCTTCCAAAACGGCTCCCGTCCGCCATTTTTAATGATTACGTCACCTAATATCATTAAAAAGGTAGTGTACATTCTTTGGTTCAGTTTCTCAAAATTTCAAATGAAAAAAAAAATATTCAGGTTTAAAGATACTAAATGGGGCAGTATACAAGTTTGTAATAGGTACGCAAAAAAGTGTTGAATATTTGCTACATAGCAGTTTACTTTTTTTAGTGCAGATATGATGACTTATTTAAAAAATTTACATTTACGGGTTTGTTTTTAATTTTGCATGCATTTTTTATAAATAAATATTTTTTAATGGAACTGTGGTTCTTTATATATGCCAAATAAGGTTATTTTTGACCTCGAACCTGTCTGCAGAGTTGCTAAGACAACGTGCAAGGAATTTATTAAAAAATGTTTGTAAAAAGACAAAAACAATGTATTTAAATAATTTATTCAAGTACAGATTCAAGTCGTGAAGGTTCTTCCACAATTTCGGGTTCTGGTTGATTGTCTCCAGGTGCATTCCAGTCTTGAACGGATCCACTGCCCATTGCCATGAAGGCGGTTGCTGTGAGGAGCAGTACCGCCGAAGATACTCCAAATACTAAGCGCCACCAACCAGCAAACTAAATTAAAATATATTATTAATTATATATCTCACAAAATAATGAATAAGAAACAAAATGTACCAAAAAAATTTATCTAGAGTGAAGAATGAAAATGTTACCAAATAAATGATTAAACGCAATCTAGTCCTTATTAATTTTTGTCTTGCGGGGTAAAACCTACATAAAATAGAATAGATTTCACGATTCCATCCTTTCCAAAGTTCTTTCAAAAGTTTTAATAGTCCAGGGCAGTAAGATCAAAATCAACCAGAATGGCGGAAATTTTTAGGGACAGCAGATATCGAGATGCGGTTTTCTGCATTGTATTCAGGAAGGTCCCACGAAAAAAGTTAATATCGTCTGGTTCAGCCATTTTTTTAAAAAATGCCTTCTGGGCCGGAAAATGTATTTTCTAATTGCATCATTACTTGCACCATTATAGGAACGACTGGAAACTCGGAAAAATCGCTCGGAAATCGTTACTCGGGGGGTTTTCGGGGTTGCTGAACTTTATTCTGACATTACAATTACCCGGGGGTGCACGGGGTTGACTCTGTGGGGGTGCGCGGGGGATGAATTGGGGAGAAATGGCAGCGTGCATGAAAATCGCTCTAAACTCGTTACTCGGGGGGTTTTCGGGGTTGCCGAACTTTATTCTGGCATTGGAATTACCCGGGAGGCGCTCGGGGTCGGCTCTGCGGGGGTATCCGGAGGTCATTCTGGAGGTAAATTGCATAATCCATGGGAAACGTTCCAAACTCGTTACTCGGGGGGTTTTCGGGGATGCCAAATTTAATTCTAGCATTGGAATTACCCGGGGGTGCTCGGGGGTGACTCTGCGGGAGTATCTGGGGGACATTCTGGGGGGGGGAAATTGCATAGTCCATGATAAACGCTCCAAACTAGCTACTCGGGAGTTTTCGGGGATACCAAATTCAATTCTGGCATTGGAATTAGGGGGAAAATGGCACATCCATGAAAATCACTCCAAAATCGATACCCGCGTGAATCAGGTTTCACATATTATTTCTACTTGCTTTCACGGGATGTGGCACAACCTCAGCATTTTTCTATCATTCATGTAAGAGATAATTGGTCTCACTATTGCTGTATACATCCATCGGGTTGCATTTCCATCTTTTACCCGCAATATTTGTGGCCCTATTTATTACTTCCTTCTTATGTATGTTCCAGAGAAGTTTGTTGTCCCGGGTTAGGTCTTGATATTTGACTCCTTTTTTCCATTCTATATCTATATCGTCTAATTTTGCGGTTTTAATTGAGGTTTATTTTCCTTAGAAAGGTTACTAGTGTTGTTTTGGAGTTTATACTAAGTCCCACCTCGCCACATCATCTTTTGGTATGTTCTAGTCCTCTTTGGACTATTTCACACAGGACTATGTATATCGTTGTCAGTCAATCTGCATAAAAGTTTATTTACAGTTAGGCTTCACATTAGTGGGGATAACATTTCTCCTTGTGGGCATTCTCTGATTGTGCAGATGATGTTCCTGCTGTATATCTCTGCAGTTTTCGTATATAGCTGCTGTATCATCCATTTGGATATGGTGGTATCTACTTCTCTCTATGCGAGTGTTGTGATCTGTTGTCAAACGTACACAACCGTTTTTTGTTTGCCAGTACATCCTTTATTTCGTCATTCAGCTGTACCAGGACATTTTTTGTTAATCTTCCTGTTCGATACGCGTGCTGACTGTGGTGAAGTGGCACCTCCTTCAAGGTATCTGTTCTGATATAATAATTAACAACCGCCTTCTCTATTGTTTTTAATATAAAGAGACTGAGACTGAATGGTTGGAAGGATTTAGGATGTAAAGTATTCTTTCTTTGCTGGTTAAACAATATTTTATTTATCTTTACCTTTCCTAATTAAATCATTTTTAGTAAACTTGAAATTAGCAAACATTTAATGAAAGTCAATTAAGAGTTTTACAAATACTGGAGACCTAAAATAAAAAAAAATGAGGAGAAAAACTTCAAAATACCTATTATATAATATGATATTGGATAGTCATAGTGGTATAAGAAGGCAGAAGAATTCAAAGAGTTTTTATCTAGATACCTTAGTATTTGTCACATGTCACCTAGGAATAGTTTTTTGTGTAGTATATGAAGAATTTATTAAAGGTTTTCATCCTGATAAGTTAGTAGGTATTTATCACTAGGGCATAGTTTTTACACCTGTACTTCACTAGAGATAGTTTATTGTGTCTTCATATGTTTTTAAGTACATATATTTGTATTTTTAAGTATATTTGTATTTTTAAATATATTTGTATTTTTAAGTATATTTGTATTTTTAAATATATTAATATTTAAATATATTTGTACTTTTAAACATAGTTGGATTTTGAAGTGTATTTATGTGTTCCTGTATTTTTTATTTGTCTCAGTGTAACTATGTCCTGTAGGTATAGTTTGAGAAAAAGATATAGTGTGACTTTAAACCTTTGAAGCCAGCCGACAACATACAAAAAAAAAACTAAGGAAACTGATACCCCTGATACATCGCAATAAAAAATAGTAGAGGAGCATTCAAGAGATTGAGTATACTTATTTTATTTGTACTTTCCTCGATAAAAGGGAAGTTTTGTAATCGTGAAAAAGTCACCCTACGAGAATATTTTAGATTTTCACGTGTTCGGATCCCTAGAATACGAAAAACATGTTTTCCCCATTCAGTAGGTCTATGTGCCGTCCGGCGTCTGTTGTCTGCCGTCTGTCTGTTGGCGCGATAGCTCAAAAACGGCTTAGGGAAAAAACTTTTTGTATGCCGATATATACAGGGTGAGCAGTTAAAAAAAACATCTATTTTAAAAGTCAGTAGATTTCGACTAAAATTGGTATCTGATCTAAGATAACAGACATAAATTACTTTTCAAAAATTCAAAATGGCTTCCCTGTTTTTACAATTTATACAGGGTATTTTTGAATGATATGCTCATATTATAGGGTGTGATTCCTCAGGTTATTTTATGAAGAAAAGTTCATATGAACATTTGTTTTTTAAAATATCTGAAAATAGTTTAGATATAATTTTTAATTTTAGCATGTGAATAGGATATAAAACCTATTAACACATATCTACCAAAATTGAAAATAATAAAAGTAGATCGAAAAATGTATGCAGTTGCGGACTATGTTCATATTATGAACTTTATAAAATGACCTGAGGGATCATACTCTGAAATATTAGCACGTCATAATATAGAGGGAAGTTCTGTGTAAAAACTTCTCAAACTGGAATGAAGATTAAAGAAGTTCTTAAATTGATAAATATTAAACAACAGCATGGTGGTTTATGTACAGATTTATGTACACGTTGAAACATATTTTCTGTGCTTGATAATTCAAATGACTTCGTTTTTTCTTGACTGGGAGCTCTTCATCTAAATCACTACCACAATCACATTCAAAACTACCACCGTCACTTCTACACTCAAAATTTTCACCTTTGTCATTGCACATCACAAACTCGGCGTCGGTTTCACATTCTAAAATATTACGGTCGTTATCAAATTCTAAAATATTATTATTATTGTTATTATTATTAATATTATTATTATTATTATTATTATTATTATTATTAATATTATTATTATTACCATTGTTATCCCAAGGCCTCCATAACTCCATCGTGTTGAATGTACTCCTAAGAAGATGTTCGCTTGACTAAATTGTCTATACGAAGTGAGTATAAATAGCCATAAAAACGTAAAACTGGACTGGCTCCAGGCAGAGGCGTGCAATGCAACAATATAAATGAAAAATGATTATTTTATTTAGGTACATTTCTTATAGAACCTACATAAAATACATCATATTATTATATTATAACGCTTGATTGCGATCGTAATAGTGTTTAAAACGCACTTTGTTATGTGAGTATTATATAAAATGGTAATAACAAAAATAATAATACCTACCAGGTGGGTGGGTGGCTCAGTGATAGAGCCCAATTTTTACATCTCGATTGAAATGAGATGTGAATGAGATGTTCGTTCCATGCCAAAAAGTAGGCGTTCTGTGAAGCCAAGTTTATCGATTTAGCCTTTATTTATGAATGCATGAATATAAAAGTGATTTGTTTGTTTAATTTTTGTTTAGATTTCATTTTATCACGTGACCAATAAAGTCTAGAGATTTTGTTTATTACATCTACTAGTGTTGGGAGAATCGGATGTTTTTCAGAATCGAACATTTTGAATTCGATTACTTTTGAGAATCGAGCAATTATTCGAATACAAAAGAATCGAATTATTTACGTTTCGTTTCGAGGTCAGCGTCAGCGACATGAAAATAAACGCAAGCACAAGCGATTCAGCCTCTCGACTCGAGTTCCCTAGTGCTCTCGGCAGTCTCAGTTCTTGTCTCAGGTGCCGCCTACCGATTTGTTCTATCTAATAATATATGGATTCTTAATTATTGAATAAATAATAACCATTTTTTTATAGGTCGGTGTCGGCAAATATGTATCGCCGTGACTGCCACTTTTTTTTTCATTGATTAAGTTATGACTTGTTCATAAAATAATAAATCCCAAAATTCCTATACTTCTAAAAATATTTACGTAATATGCCGCAATCAGAACTACTAAAGTACTATGTTAAATTAAAATTAGTAAATTACGCTTCCTTTGTAATTTTAGTCGGGTCGAATGCACGCTAGAATCGAATACTTTTATAATTTGTATTCGAATAGTCCCATCACTAACATCTACATTTAGATCTAATCCTTTACAACGTGACAAAAAATTCACAACATCTCAGATGCATCCGATGTGGATATTATTAAAACGCGGCATTTATTTCGAAATTCTAAAACTTTCGATGTTACGACACTGGGTCGTGCCATATGTCACAATTCAATTTCTTGCACATTTCTGAATACAGTATTCAAGAATTTGACCAATAACAATTTGGAAGCGACCAATTACATGCGCCGTATTAAACGTGGGAGGTAACATTTGCTGACAGGTAGATGTCCAGTCCATGTGGACCATTCAAATAAGCATACAGGGAGCGATCAACACAAATTTTATTATTTTATTTCAGTGTGTTATGCAGTAAATTAATCGTGCCTCGTATTTATCTACTATTTTTAAAGGTGATGTATCAGTCTCCTTAGTTTTTTTTTGTATGTTTGCCGGCTGGCTTTAAAGGTTTAAATCACACTATATCTTTTTCTCCAACTATACATTTATTAAACAAATTAACACTTACTGAACCATGTAATCCTTCAGAGACAACATAATTAGCTGCTAATAATCCCGCGGCGCCAACCGTTTGACAAAGACCAAATACTGTTCCTGTAAAATTTAAAAAATATACAAGGTGTTTGAGAAATAATGATAAATATTTTATATAGATAATCAGGATGTCGAAATATTATTATTTTACTGGATAATGAAAAATCAAAAAGATTGCTGAAATATGTTATTAAGTTAAAAGTTATCCTTGTTCAAAGAATTTAGAGATTTGTTTGTTCATATATAGAGTGTCTCATTTTAATCACTAGATAAAATTGCAAAATATGATGTTAGGCAGTAGACTTTGGATTGGAACAGTGTCAATGAAGGTATTTAACTAAGGAGGCTCATGCCATAGCTAAGATAGCATTACTATAAAAAATTTTTTTATGAATTAATTGTATTAAAAAATTTGAGGTTTACTGAGTTTCTACAAATACAACATTTTTTTTAGTGAATTATTTGACATATGGCCAATTGTTAATGGAACATACTATATAAGTAAATTCAATTAAAAGTTATTGATCTAGATTTGGTAAAATCATATTGCCCAATAGTTATGGAATTTTTAAAACATATACAGACATTAAAACATGTTTAAAGAATGATAGATAGTGGATAATATATCGTTAATGTCGGCAACAAATGTCATTTTCCAGATATTTGTAAAAATGCCTGTTGTTTTAAAGTTTGTTATTTAATAATCATAAAGATCTCGGTAATACAAAGGCAGTTTTTATAAATAGTGAGACCATAATATTAGAACCTGGGACTTAAATTTACATAAATGGATCTCAGTTTGTCAAAACGTAATTTGTATTTAATAAATTCTTCAAAAAGTTATTTATGATTTTATCTACAAATTTGAAACCATATAGATTTGTCTTTGGAATATTAGGTCTGTTCGGGTTCTTTAAAATACATTGAAAACTATCAGAGGACTAGTTGACCAGTGGACAGTTTAATAGTTGTGTGCGACGTATACTTTAGAAATGAACTGTTCCACTAGTTCTCGGACGGTTTGCATCGAGTTTTAAGGAAACCCGAACAAACCTATTATTTACTTTATGAATACATGTTTGCTATATTTATTTACTGACCTGCAAAATTGGGGGCGATATCCGCAGCACTAGCATACACTCCAGCAGGAGTAGCTCCTGTCATTGCCAAAGCAGCTGTGTATAAAGCAGCAGGGGCTGCTGGGTCACACCCTGTATATCCAAGGACAAACATCAACGCTGCGGGAGGAAAGTGAGCTGAAAAAAACTTTTAATTACTGGACTTTTATTGAGTCAATAGAACTTCAACTACAGAGATTATAAATATTGATATAACTTGGTAACTTGCGAACCATAACAGCTGACCTATTCCGTTAAAATACAAATCAAAGTTTTGGCAGGCTCCCAGATAGAAACTTAGGCGATCCATATCTCAAATTTACCAAAAAGTTATAAAACAGGAGGCATGGTATTCGCTAAAAGATTTTTAGATTTTCTAAGCATTAATAAGCAAAAAACAAAACAGACAACTGAAAACTGATACGTCACTTTCACATGTGCCGGATACCGGATATACGATGCCTGATATCCAGCAATATTGTTGTGTTCAGACGACATACCGTTGAATGTCTTGAATGTCTTGAATGTCTTGAATGTCTTGAATGTCTTGAATGTCTTGAATGTCTTGAATGTCTTGAATGTCTTGAATGTCTTGAATGTCTTGAATGTCTTGAATGTCTTGAATATCTTGAATGTCTTGAATGTCTTGAATGTCTTGAATGTCTTGAATGTCTTGAATGTCTTGAATGTCTTGAATGTCTTGAATGTCTTGAATGTCTTGAATGTCTTGAATGTAATTGAATGTCTTGAATGTCTTGAATGTCTTGAATGTCTTGAATGTCTTGAATGTCTTGAATGTCTTGAATGTCTTGAATGTCTTGAATGTCTTGAATGTCTTGAATGTCTTGAATGTCTTGAATGTCTTGAATGTCTTGAATGTCTTGAATGTCTTGAATGTCTTGAATGTCTTGAATGTCTTGAATGTCTTGAATGTCTTGAATGTCTTGAATGTCTTGAATGTCTTGAATGTCTTGAATGTCTTGAATGTCTTGAATGTCTTGAATGTCTTGAATGTCTTGAATGTCTTGAATGTCTTGAATGTCTTGAATGTCTTGAATGTCTTGAATGTCTTGAATGTCTTGAATGTCTTGAATGTCTTGAATGTCTTGAATGTCTTGAATGTCTTGAATGTCTTGAATGTCTTGAATGTCTTGAATGTCTTGAATGTCTTGAATGTCTTGAATGTCTTGAATGTCTTGAATGTCTTGAATGTCTTGAATGTCTTGAATGTCTTGAATGTCTTGAATGTCTTGAATGTCTTGAATGTCTTGAATGTCTTGAATGTCTTGAATGTCTTGAATGTCTTGAATGTCTTGAATGTCTTGAATGTCTTGAATGTCTTGAATGTCTTGAATGTCTTGAATGTCTTGAATGTCTTGAATGTCTTGAATGTCTTGAATGTCTTGAATGTCTTGAATGTCTTGAATGTCTTGAATGTCTTGAATGTCTTGAATGTCTTGAATGTCTTGAATGTCTTGAATGTCTTGAATGTCTTGAATGTCTTGAATGTCTTGAATGTCTTGAATGTCTTGAATGTCTTGAATGTCTTGAATGTCTTGAATGTCTTGAATGTCTTGAATGTCTTGAATGTCTTGAATGTCTTGAATGTCTTGAATGTCTTGAATGTCTTGAATGTCTTGAATGTCTTGAATGTCTTGAATGTCTTGAATGTCTTGAATGTCTTGAATGTCTTGAATGTCTTGAATGTCTTGAATGTCTTGAATGTCTTGAATGTCTTGAATGTCTTGAATGTCTTGAATGTCTTGAATGTCTTGAATGTCTTGAATGTCTTGAATGTCTTGAATGTCTTGAATGTCTTGAATGTCTTGAATGTATTGAATGTCTTGAATGTCTTGAATGTCTTGAATGTCTTGAATGTCCTGAATGTCCTGAATGTCTTGAATGTCTTGAATGTCTTGAATGTCTTGAATGTCTTGAATGTCTTGAATGTCTTGAATGTCTTGAATGTCTTGAATGTCTTGAATGTCTTGAATGTCTTGAATGTCTTGAATGTCTTGAATGTCTTGAATGTCTTGAATGTCCTGAATGTCTTGAATGTCTTGAATGTCTTGAATGTCTTGAATGTCTTGAATGTCTTGAATGTCTTGAATGTCTTGAATGTCTTGAATGTCTTGAATGTCTTGAATGTCTTGAATGTCTTGAATGTCTTGAATGTCTTGAATGTCTTGAATGTCTTGAATGTCTTGAATGTCTTGAATGTCTTGAATGTCTTGAATGTCTTGAATGTCTTGAATGTCTTGAATGTCTTGAATGTCTTAAATGTAATCAAACGGTCATGGGCGAAGTTAGGGGAGGGCTTGGGGGGGCTATGCCCCCCAAAAACCAAATTAGCCCCCCCAAAAATAATTCGAACATTTATCGCACATCCACCCATACATTTCAGATTTTAGAACAGAAATTAAAAAATAAAAAGAATCGTGCCATTTGATTGATTCTGCAATTTTACATTTAGCTCAGGAGGCAGTGAATTTTTTTCGTACCTACTCATTTTTCCAGTAGGTGTACATGAGTAACAAAAAACAAAATTTTTGAGTCTGACTCTTATTTTCCCAGTCATAAATATTATACATTTACTAAACTAGAACAAAAAGTTTATAAAAATAGCAGTTTGGATTATCTCAGATAGTGGAAAGTGAGTGTGGCAGAAAATTTAGCATATAAATTGATACAATCATGAAATGTTAATAATAATGTCTGGCTGATTTACGAAATTGGCAAATGAGTCTGATTACATCTTCAAAATCGAAAAAATATAATATTTTTGCCTGATGATGAAGTGACAGTTTCGAAACCGGTCGCCAATTAAATTGACTTGTGAGAAATAAAGGACTTTTTCTTTAACCCCTTACACTTAATCCCTACTACTCACATATGGCTACCCTCACTCCAAATAATATTTTTGCTTTTATTTTCCCGGGTTTGAAAATTTGTCACGTAATAGATTATATTGTAATTTTACACCTCTATTTTATACCCTAAACGAAATTATACTGAAAATTTTTTTGAAAGTTGAGAAGCCCTTCCATGCATAAAATATTACGACGCAACGCGATAGTGTGATTAAAAATGTGCCGTTTTAGTGGTTAATATTTTATTTAATACCAATTATAATTAGGTATAAATACACTACATTTATTTTAAGTTAAATAGTAATGAGGTTTTTCGCGTCAACTAAACGACTTAAAATATGACAAATGGTCATGGTATGGCCACAGCATTTAAAAATATATGTTTTATATGCTGTGGTATGGCCAGCTTTGAAAATTTGATTTTAGTCGTTTTAATGTATGTCTGTCAAGTTTTGAAATTTGGATATTTTGGTATAAAATTTTCTTACCCAATACCACATGTGCTTAAATTATTATCAGTAAATTTTTGCTCACTCACGCATATTTTCGTCTTCGACTAAATTTCAAAATATTCTTAAGTTCGAAAAAATTTCCGGAAATAATTTAGTCACTAGTGGTATTCTAAGTGAAAATATACGTCTGGCTGACAATTACAATCACGAAGGCCTGCCAGACTCACAAGTAGTGTCCGAACGAAGGTTCGGTTACGGTTTCGGCCAACTTCGGCTTAAAATAAGAGTTTCGACTACAGTTTCGGTTTCGGCGGAAAAGTGGCCGAAACTGCAGCCGACAGCAAAACTACTTTCGAAAGTTTTCGTATCACACTTGGTTGTGTCCTGCACAATGGCGACTGTGCCGGGTGCCATTCTTACATAGTGCACGTACACACAAACATGTCTGCTTTGTTTCAAGTGAACAGTCTTCAGTGTTCCTGGCCTAATTTATTCGGATCAAAGGAGAAATTTTTTAGGTGAAAACGTGGAAAAATATTTTTTTTACCCTACAACATTAGACTGTTTACTTATGAATATTAATTTAATTATAAGTAACAAACGTATTTAATCCACTGAATTTTTTTTTTTTTTTTTAAATTCTACTACAGATGCAGAAATGATTGATAATTTGTAATTCACTTACTTTATTTTTAATTTTAAAAGTAATAAAAAAAACAATGTCCATAAATTTATTAATGGCTACTTTTGATCATCAAAACTAAATAGGTAATAAGTAAATGTAGCTTATATTTATAATACGAGTTAATTAGTCTAAAACAAGGATTACAATAAGATACTGCAAATTTCAATAAGAGATTGCCTTAAAACAAAGTTCTTGTTTCTGTTTCGGTTTCGGCCGAAACTAAGAAAGGAGCCGAAATTTAGTTTCTGTTTCGGTTATAAAACCATATTTCGGTCGGATCTGACAAGCCAGGTAGTTAAACGAGGAGAGGAATAGCAATCGAACGTGCCGAATTTAGCGCGCCTGGCGATCATTAGATGAGTCTGGCAAGGCTTTCGGGGTGTTCCACATTAGCCAGATTGTATTTGAAGCTGTTTTCATATTATACATTTTTCTAGTAGTGAGAACACTTGTAACAGGGATCCTTACCGGACAATGCCAACTAAAAGGACACCTTAGTAAACTGAGATTAGTAGAAGATAGTGACTGCAGATTCTGTGAGGAGGACGAAACCTTCGTTCACATTCTGAATGTGTAGCACTCCAGAATCAAAGGGCACTATACCTAGGAGCATATAAAATAGAAGAGGGAAATTTACCTAACTTGAAGCCACTCCAAATCCTACACTTCCTTGAGAAAATATAATTGGAAGGATCGTTATAGGCATTGAGACATTTCCGTGCTGCATAAGCGACAGAAGGGGACACAATAGATCTTTTAGGTCGCAGTGTTTTAACACCCCATTCCCAACATAACATAGTCAGAAAACTGCAAAAAAATTAAATCCACCAATCACAGTTCATATTTTGGACACCCAACTACTATTATTTTTAAAATTTTAAATTCTGTCAGTATATTTTTTAGTCATTACGATTACATACGTTAAAATTAGTTATTTTTGTTTAGAATCGATAAAAAATGGCATTTTTATTTTGGCCACATTTAAAAAAAATTAATTTTAATCAAATTGTATGAAACTGATTTAATTACGAGTATTAAAACTAAAAACCTGGAGTGGAGTGGAGCAGAGGACAGAGCATCTAGATTCCACGCGAATAGCCTGGGTTCGAATCTGGACAAGGGGCTTATTTTATGTTTATTATATTTTATAAATTAATAAAATTCATAAATTTTTTAAATTTTTATATTTTCCTTAGTGGTTCATAGAAAATTTATACTGTACAACTCGAGTGAATTGTCCATATCTACTCTTGTTGCATAAACTACTATTTCATGACTGCGAAAATGAGGAAATTTTTTTAATGAATTATTGTGATGAAAATTTTTCAGGTTTTTTACTTGACATAAATATATATTATATATGATATTTTATCCATTTTCATAGATTCGCCAGAATTTTTTTACTTAACTTGAGTATACCTCTAGAACTATTATATATTATATGAATAGGGCTAGGGCTTTAGCCCCCCCAGATCTGATGACATAACTTCGCCCATGTAAACGGTTACGACATAAAAGAAAGAAATGTTTATTTTTTTTTATATTTTTAAAACGTCTTTCAAATGTATTAAGAATCTCACATTCAAAAAGCTAAACTGTATATAGAAGTGTGGTACTTCCAAAATTTTGATTGCCGTATTTCGTATTGTTACGTTTGTTTATTTTAAATAACAGTTTGTTTGTAAATAATTTAATTAAACACCTATTTATTTTAAAACAATACTTATTTTAATTTATATATATTTCGAATGTTTTTAAATTGTTCACTATTTATCTTCACAACTATTTGTATATGACTGACCACAGACCTTTTATATATTGTTTATAGACAGTACACTCAATGTATAATTTTCGTAGCTGATTTCAGCGCCCTCACAGTGGTGGGGGTTTAAACTAAACGATGGCGGCAATTTTTGAATGTCTGAATAATTTTTTGGAAGCACGCTTTGAACGTGGTTATTATGTGTACCATTAAAGTTGAGATTTGATTACAATAAGCAAACAAATCGTAACTATAATGGTTTAATCATGTTTTGGTGCTACATTTTTTTATGAAATGAAACCATTTATTATATTTATAACGATTTATTTATAAAATGTAAATTTCGGGTATTATTTTAACTAAAACTAAAAATAGCTAAAAATAAGGCAATAATAATAGGTACATGCAAAATATTAAGATAAAATAAAAAAGATTCAAGTGATTTCAATTTTTTAGTTTTATCTGGTTTTTATTTCTTATATTATAGGTATCTTGTGTTAGCAAGAAGACGTATTTTACCATTAAAATAATGTAACAACCTGGAACCCGGAACAATTACACTTTACAATCATGACTGAATGTTATCCATTATCTCAAATGTAATGTGGTCACATATAGTCACATTAATCCTTCCTCCATGTGGTCACTGACCAATGTAAGCCGAAACTAATCGCGACACTGCCAATTAAATAAACTTGCTATGCTGTGGTATTAATTGTGTGCTTTATTTCCATTTCACTATTGACTTCCATTTTATTATTTAACAATCAGTTCAAAAACAAACGTATCACTCACAAAATTCATAAAAATAATAAAGAAATAAGAAATATTTGTGGTTATGTAGGTATCAAGTACACAAAGTAGGCAGTGTTGTCACGGTCAAATGGTGATAATTCTCATCAATTACCCCGAACGCCTGAAGTCACCAATAAATGCAATAGTGACGATGAAAATATTTTAAAACATGACTTTTCAGCAATAGTACATACTACTAAATGAAAAACGGCAAAAACGCTATAATCTTGCATTAATAAATTATAAATCAATTCATAAAAGTTCATTAGTTAATTAAGAATACCCAAAAATCGGGTAAAATTATTGCTATTGGCAACGCTGCACAAGCGTGTCCTATAAACGGTGACGGTGGCGACCTCACGACGGCGGGGGTATGAAACTTAACATGAATTGACCTTGACGGTAAGAGTGGATACACCACAAAGCACATAGAGGTTCCACGTGATTGACCAAGGTCAAAACCGACAACTGACATTTTTTATGCTATTTGCTCCAAACTCTAGATGGGGCTACTGGTGAAATTTTGATTTCTTACTCCATTTTTAAGCCTTATGGGAGAAAAACTTAACCAAAGACTCCAAAGATGTGACGTGTATTTATTTATGTTCTTGGTTAGTTTCATTTTTCCGTCTGATTTTAGTGATTTTTTGTTGCTTTGGCTTTTGGTTTCTGTTTATAGTTTCGTCTTAGTTATTTGCAAAATTGTGATGTTTCGCTTTTTTATTTCCTACTATGTTTTGCAATAATTTTGGTGCTACGTTGAAAACTTCCAGAAAAACTTCATTGATTCACCATATATTCACCATGCATCTGCATCATAAAAAGACAAACGGGGACAACAACTAATTGATAATCAATTTATCACTGGACTAGATTCCGAAATAATTTTTCACATAAGAGAGTAATACCACCATCTGTATTTGGAAGGAAAATACCTATTTATCATTGAATGAATAGTTAAAAGGATTCACCTTTTAATACAATACCTATATTACATTTGTCCTCAGTCAAAAAGACATTTATAAAATATATAACTTTAGTGTTAATAAAATGTAATATCCTAGTCTCTACTTCACATTTAAATTATTGATAGGTATTTTAAAGATTTGAGATTATATATCTATTTGCTCCAAGTAAGTATTCGTTAAATATGTATTATTATTTTTATTTATTTTTATCTAATAATATTTATTTAAGTTATTAATAAACATATTTTAAGAATGTTCTATTTTATTATTTATTGATATATCTTATATTTATTTAATAAAAATATGCAGAACCAACTCTCCACATTAGACCCCTTATAACAAATTAATTCTTCAAATTTGGTATAATCGACCTAAATTATTTTGTAAAATAAAAGTTTCGAACTTACTAGTTCCATACTTTATTTTATAAAATAATTTATGTGGAAATCATTTAAAATTTAATTTAAAACTACTACCTACTCCTAAAAATTACAATTTGAATTTACCGCCATCTGTCAATTGTCATTTTAGTTCCAGCTCCAAACACAAGGTGACGCTAATTTGGTTTAAAAGTTTAACATTGGCGTGGGGTCTCTAGAAGATACATGCTTTGTGGGATACACTGTGTGACTGACTGCTCCGTTTTCCTCCACCAATATTTATATACACATTTAAAATTCTGGTGGTGGTTTAGAACGTTCTTGCCAAAACTAGAAACATTATGACGTTCTATCTGGAATGTACTCGAAAGCTTCTTCGCCATATTCGTCACATATGTTTGGCCTTAAGGGGTTTAATTATGTTTGATAATCGGACAAGTTGAGCCTCAAAGGCCAAATAAGACAGAGAGCGACTTGGAGGATTAGAGCATGACTGAATAATGAAATGGCGCGCATTATAGTATTAATTACAAAAAAATAACCGCCAAAATACGTTTTTTTCTCAAAAAGTTCGTTAACTAATTAAAGCCGATAGAATTTTATTTTTTTAAAAAATAGCAACATACTTACAGAGATAGACAAAGAACTTTCTTGATGTTGTTGTCGAGACGAGTCCAGATTCTCTTACGTGATCCACAACTATGCCGAATGTAATGGCCGCAAAAAAGTGACCAACATGTGGCAAAGACTGCAGGATGTCTTCCTTGAAAAATTAAAACTGTTTAGGAAACGTATTCTTTGCTAATATACCTATAAATTAATTTGAACACATAAAAAAATAATGAGTACACCATTGGACTCTACATACCTAAATTTCAGTGAAAAAATAAAGAGTACGTATTGGTATATTTTTCTATTCCAATTTTAGCCAAAAACATTTTAGACAGGACTGGACTTTCAGAACTTACTCTAAAATACTGCATTTAACTTTGGTGCAAAAGAATTATTATTTAAACCGTAGAGATTATTCAAAAAACGTATCAATTTTAGGTAAATTCTATTGTTTTTAAAGATTAATTGCAGTATTGTACAAGTTTTATTTGGCCCATAGTTTAGAAAAAAATATAACTTGTTAAAAAATTCTTACGTATTCAATGGAAAATCCATAGACTAACTTCAAATATTTCGTCACTCCTAACATAAGCGTCGCATCTGCCCATTGACTACCAATAACAGCTATACCACATGCCCATGCTGGTTTAGACATTAAAAGTCTCCTCCATGGTAAATTCCGATGTTCCTGTGAAAATTGTTATGAAACGTTAAATAATAAAAGTTTTTAGGAGTTAACGACGCATAAATTTATTAAAGAAAACAGTCAATAAACAGAGTTTTAAAGTATTTAGGTAACATGACGCTGTATAAAAGCAGGTTAGAGATGATTAAATGAGCTTCAAAACTTCCAACCTAGATTTTCAATAGAGTATTTATTAATTATGCTAACAACAAAGTTTCAGGATAAACTCCTGAAATAAATATCAAAAATTAACACGTGAGAAAAGATGAGAAAAAATTTCTTGCAAAATAGACATGTGTGATTTTCTTGTTCCTTAACTCAATATCTTGCTAACTGTTGATAGCTTTGATGAAATTTTGTAGCAAAGCTTGTTCAAATTTTGAAAACTATAAAAATATTCAGCTATTTTTATGGTTATAAACTTTTCCAACACTTAGTCCAATTAGAGGTACTTAGATTACATGCAACATTTTCAGAAGCTTATTCCTTTTTTGTTTTCTACTTGAAACTTTTCAATTTATTTAAAACATTGGACATTGTTATAAGTTGTTATTAGGTATTCTTTGTTATTGTTTATATATTTTGACATACCCGCACATAACCAAAATATTGACCAAAGTCCTTAACCACTTTTTATCACCTTAATCCAAAAATTTTATTCGTACGGTTTTGTCAACTGGAATAAATTTTCATTATTATGTTTAATTTTTCATATCTTTTATCATAAATTGTTATTTTTAAATAAATAAAGATGTTTTTAACTATAATAGGTAGGTGATAGAGGCCATGTGCCTGAACGAAAAGAAGACGTAGATGGCGTATCTGCATAGCATTAAAAATTGACTACTTCATTAAATCGTCACTAGATGCCGCTCGAGATTGCATCCAACACTTTTTACTGTTGCATTATCCTACTATATTATCTTCATACAACGGTCGAACTAAGGCACAATATATCCCCTATAGTAATGTTACTGGGATTCAATAAATGGCTTTGAGTTACGCTGCGGCCAGACACAGGTCTCATGGCGCTAGTATCGTTATTGATTTTTGACATCGGCACGTTCATAGGTTGACGACGAATTCAAAACAATCTGATCGGAGCGTTACTCACTCCCACTGCTTCTCTTTGTTTAGATACTTATAAAAGAAAGAGATACCAGTTAATAATTCCTATTTCGAATCATCTTACATTTTTTAGCGTTGAGTTTTTATAAGTGAAGCGTGAAGTGTCAGTGTTGACAAGTGATAATTTTTTGATTTTTTCTTCTACGAAATTTAATATTAACTTTGTTTCAGCGATATTTATTGTGATTTGTGTTGTTGTATTAAGTGCTTTCTTATTTAATATGGGAAACAAAACGTACAACACACTCAGAAAAAGAGGAATCAAGGAGGGATTGCTATCTATGGCTGTCATCCAAGGGTCTGCGCTCTAGATAATACTTTTCCAGTGGTAAAAGCCTTTAAAATTCAAGTATAACAATTTTATGTTTCCGTTTTCCATTCTTTTAATGTAGGTGCCAATTTTGAGGTAAGTTTGTAATAATTTTTCATATTTTTTCAGTTAATACCTACCCTCTTAATATTATAATTTAACTATGATTTTATGCTTTCCTATGGACACGATTCAAGGAGGGAGTCCTATGGCTGTCATCCAAGCTCTAGATAATAGTTTTCCAGTGGCAACAGCCTTTAAAATTCAAGTATAATAATTTACTTTTTTCGAAGTAGATGTCCATTTAAACTAAATTTTTTTATTTCACTTATTGATTTTAGCATTTATATACAGTATCGGCTAATGAACACTTTCCAATACGCTTGGCTAGAATCGAAAAGAAAACTAAAGAGTTAGCGCATTAGTTCGATCAGGAAACGAATAATATGAATGTTGCCTTGTGTGCTGTGTAATATGAACAGGCACACGGTGTGATGCATCCCCACGTAGCCGGCTGGCTACGTTCATAGTATTATATTCCTTCTCCCACTAATGCTAACTCTTTGTAGTTTTTACTTGGACATTAGCAAAACGTATTGTACAACATTCGATAGCTGTCACTGTATTATCACAAACATCTCTTAATAACTACATGATTTCATTTAATAGTTTCTTTTTTTTTTCAGTAAAATGGATATTTGGAGTGAGCGTAGCCATATGTGAGTAGTAGGGATTAAGGGTAAGGGGTTAAAGAAAAGGTCCTTTATTTCTCACAAGTCAATTTAATTGGCGACCCGTTTCGAAGCTGTCACTTCATCATCAGGCACACCTTGACTATTTGACTATTAAACTTTATGTAGCGCTTCCTTTATGGAAATAGTCAAGGTATGCCTGATGATGAAGTGACAGCTTCGAAACCGGTCGCCAATTAAATTGACTTGTGAGAAATAAAGGACCTTTTCTTTAACCCCTTACACTTAAAATGGATATGGCTAGAGTTATCTTCGTCTTTAAAATATATTAAATAAGTTTTATAATTTTTCAAATAAAATACTTTATACAATTTTTTGTTTTTTTTACCAGAGCCAATTTTTTTTCAGATCTAACCTCTAGAGGTAAAAAATAAGTGATTTAGGTAAAATTGAAAAGTATATTACATGTTCTTTTAAATGTGTTGTTAATCCAAATGCTGCTCTTATTGTAATAGCCAATAATAAAAGAATTAGTATTATTTTTAGCTATCAAAATAAAAATAGCGCCTGGATTTACAGCTCGTTTAATCGAACATGCAATATACTTCTCAATAATTATTGCCGAATGAATATATTTAAAAATTCCCGCCATTCCGCATCTGAAAATTTACAATTTTCGCGGGAAATTTAAATTTCGCCTTTAAATTATATTTGAATTTACCGCCATATCGAGTTAGTTGAGCGGCCAGACACAGACGCATTCTTGCGCTGCAAACTTAGTGCCAACTCTTTAACAAGTGAGATGCACTACTATGGGGGATATATTGTGAACTAAGGTATTGACTTAGCAAGACTCTCCTCTCCTGCTCCTGCAGAGGTATTGACTTTGTAGGCTTCCCGACGTCCCGAACCTTACCTGCAAAGGTATTGACTTTATAAGTTTTCCTTTCCTGTTAATCGCCTCCCACGAAGATATTGACTTCGAGGAACTTCCATCACCGTCAAGATAACCTGTCACATCTTCGCCACACCATCCTGGACCACTAAGCCACGCCGAACCGACGCACATGATATATTTTGGGGAACAACATTTGAAGACACGACGAATCAAAATTTAGCTAGAACCTTTTCATGTACATATTGTAAATATTGTTATCTGAATATAAATTGTTAGAATAATATTTTATTTTCAAAGAACTCTGTCTCCGACTGTCTAAAATCTACCTACCACCCGAACAAACCCCAGGAGGGGTTACATACCTTTTTAAATATAAAATGAATACTTACGTCTCTTTTTGGTCTGTTTGGATTCAGCGATTCTTCGACAAATCGCCACCAAAGAAAATACCAGAAAAACGTCGTCGAAGCTATGACATAACTTAACCAATCTCGTCCAAGTTTTTTTACTAAAAAGCTGCCCAGAATGCCCACTATAGCATAGCCTAGATTCACAGCTGAAACAGAAAATCCATCAGTTATTCTTCTCAAAACAAAGTAAAAATAAATTCGTTGAAAATTATTCAATTTTCAAATTTATTTTTTAAAATTTATTTTTGAATCCCCAGTTTTGATTTATTAATTAAAACACTTTTCCAAAGTTAAATGAGATAATCAAGTCTCAAATGATATATTTATCATACAAATTCGGAAACCAAATTCATTACTTCACTTTAATTTAAAGACATTACAACTAAGAGACCAAATTGTTTACATTTTTATGTGGCAAATCATTATTCCCACCAGATTCTCGTTTATTGCGTCTTTGCCGGTTTTATCAGTCTGTCAAAATTATTTGGAGAAATTACTTTCGAAAAATAAAATTTGATGTGTCCTGTAACTTTAATTTTATATTATATAAATAAAAATATGTTTTTAATCAAATTATTCTTTGAAGTTTTAATATAAGCTAAATTTTTTATTAAAAAATCAATATTAATCTAAACAAAATATTAGGGGAAATGTGCCTAATATCGTACATCTTCCTAATATCGCACACCATAATATTTTCTACGTCATCGCTATAAACTACCTGCAGGCGGCTAAACAAGTTCTGCAGGCTGATTTGATGGTGTAGAGTAAGAATTAAGAGTGATAACAACGAGTATGTTAGCTCTGTGAATTATTGGAATATTTTACGCGCGAAAAGTTTTTTTGGGGTTATCTTCAACATGTTGTAGTTTTAATAGTTATAATTTGATTTTTAATTGAGTTCGTTATTTCGACAATATTAAAAAAATATTTTTGGTCCTAAGTTTTCCTAATATCGCGCTATTCCTAATGTCATAATATCGCACTGTGCACTGTCGTTACTTCGACCTAACATATATTTTGTGAAAAATACTATAGTTTGGTGTAGATTAAAGCATAACAGAAATTTTTAATTACAGATGCCGCCTAAAAAAAAGGAAACAGTGGTCGACAGAAAGCATGAAACGAGCAATATTAACTGTTAGAGCCAAAGAAATGGGCCTGTTACGTGCATCGAAACATTTTAGTGTACCTAAGTCAACATTAAAAGACAAAGTGAACAGTGCTGAAGAGGATGTCAATAAGTTAGTATCTATAAAGCTTGGTAGAAAACCTACACTCGATATAGAGTTAGAAGAAGCATTAGTAACATACTGGTTGGAAATGGAATCTCGGTTTTATGGACTAACAGCAAAAGACGTAAAAAGAATGGCGTTCCAATTAGCTGAAGCAAGCAAGCAAGATGGAAGTGGTTACGTTCATTTATGAGAAGGCATCCACGACTTAGTTTAAGAAAACCACAGGCCACATCTTTAAAAAGAATTACGGGATTTAGCAAAAAGAACGTAAAAGCTTTTTTCCCCAAACAAATTGTACAATTGCGACGAAATTGGTTTAACCATTGTACAACACAAAACTAGTAAAGTGATATCTCTACGTGGCAAATGTCAAGTTGGAGCCATTTCCTCTGCAGAGAGGGGTTCCTTAGTAACGATGGTTACATGTATGAGTGCAACAGGCCATTATATCCCGCCCCTTTTGGTATTTCCAAGAAAAAATATGAAACCAGAGCTATTGGACGGCGCTCCAAATGGAAGTTCAGTAGCGTGCCATAAATCTGGATGGATTGAAGCGGAAAGTTTCCAAAAATGGTTTAAGGAACAATTTTTGGCAAATGTAAAGCCTACCAAGAACGATCCAGTGGTTTTGATATTAGATGGCCATTATTCTCACACACGAAATCTGCAATTGCTAGAGTTGGCCCGAGATAATAAGGTGCATATTGTAAGTTTGCCACCCCATTGTTCCCATAAAATGCAACCTCTTGATAGGTCATTCATGGCACCTTTTAAGACTTATTATGCACAAGCTATAGAATCATGGTTAAAGCACAATTCATATAGAGCTATAACCCACTACCAAATAGGAAAACTTTTAAGTGAAGCTTATAACAAGGCAGCAACAGTTGCTACTGCAGAAAACGGTTTCAGGAAGACCGGATTATTTCCACTAAACCGCAATATTTTCCAAGCTCATGAGTTCGTTGCCCTCGAAACTGAGTCAGAAGTAGACGTTCAACAGTCAGTGTCCAGCAGCGCTCCTCCATCAGTTATTCTTGATGATATTCAGCAGCCTGGACCTAGTAATATTCAGCGAGCTGTCGCTGCTATTTATAAACCAGGACCTAACCACATTTGCCAAAAAAATGTCTCTGAACAGTCAGGACCAAACAGCCCTTATCCTTCTAGAATAATGCCAGTTCATATCAGCCCGCTTTCTTTTATAAAACCAAAAACTCACAGTGTTGAATGTAGAGGACGACCAAGCCGTCCAGCTGCAGTAATTACAAGTTCGCCATACAAGGATCAGTTGTCTCAAGACATTGCAGAAAAGGAAAGAAAAAAAGAAGTCAAAGCGAGCAAAAGTGTTAAGAGAAATATAAATCCAAAATTGAAAGCACCACCTAACAAAACAAAAGGCAAGAGAAAGAAAGTAACAGATTTGTCTGATGAGCCGTTGACTGTCTCCACAGATGAAGAAGATAGTGATGATGATTGTGAGTGTCCCTATTGCAATCAAACTTATTTAAGTGATAAAAAAGGTGAACCATGGATAAGATGCATTAAATGTCGCATTTGGTGCCATGAAGCATGCTCTGGTTCTGATGATTATTCAACTTTTGTTTGTGACTTTTGTTTAGAAGGATAAATTGACAAAAATCAAAACTACTCACCAATATACATTTTTTATACTATTCTTTTAATAAATACCTTAAATAAATAATTTAGTTTTATTTATACTAAATATAAATTAAGCAAGAGCTTAACATCGCACTATGCGATATTAGGAACATAACCTGTGCGATATTAGGAACACTATTTTAAAAAATAAACAAATGGCGGATTTCCATTTTTTTTATTTTCTTTTTATGTAAATATCGTATAGTTATGTAAGTTCCTGTGACTTTTAGGAAATTGATGAAGTTTATAGAATATTGGATACTATTATTTTTTACTAGATATTAACCTCATAAATAAATATTAATAAAATGGGTGCGATATTAGGCACAATTCCCCTAGGGTTTCGAAGAACTCCGTAAATACGGCAACGCTGAATATCTTATTTTACGAATTTACAATTTTTATGAATGAAATGTAGTACCGTAACCAGCCGCAACGTTGCCAATCAGGTCTAACAGCTATTTTGTATTTCAGACAGTTTCTGTGTGACTTATTGATTTATTCATTTATGAAATACTATTTTTCAGAACTTTTGTGAGAAATATAAAGAATTATGGTACATGCATGTGTAGTGTTCAAAAGGGTAGATCATTTAAGTCGAAATGTATGGTTTCATCGGTACCTAAGTATTTTTAGGTTAAGATATGTACCAGTAGGGCTTGTACAAGATTTGATACAATTTCTTATAGAATTTTAATTATGTAGGATCACATAGTAAATTGTTTGAAAAATGATTATCCAATCTAATTTTACAGACAATTTACTGCAGGTTTGATAATATACAATTTAAATTGTACAAGAAATTGTATCAAAAACTTTTGTGTAGTCTGAAATAGTCTTAAAACAGTTTTTAAAGTAATATTCCTTTTATAAATTAGTACATTTTTCTTGTGCCAATAAATAATTATTGAATAGTGGCAAAGAAAATTTAACGTAAAATGTAGAATACCTTAAAAATGATTTACCTATTGAGCACCTATACATATTTTTTATTACTCTATTTAGGTTTCCGCAAGATCCTGAGAAAAGAAAACTTTGGTTTTCTCTAATAGGAATCCTTGAAAATCAGCCCCTTCGTAAAAACCCAGAGTTGTGTTTAGAACACTGTTTTCCTGAAAACTTTTTGGTACGTGCAAATGGTACTAGATATATTAGAAAAGATGCAAACTCAAGACGGTGTGAGGGCTTTCTATTTTTGGATGACTTATCCAACAGGTAAAAATACTAAATATTAATTTTTTGTTTACCTCTGAACATTATTTATTACCTATATGTATGTATATCTAATGTATGGATTTTTAGTTCTGATTCAACTATTTTTGGAACACCACCTGCTGCAAAAAGAAACGTTGCAGTAAGTTATAACATTAATAACTAAGCATAAAAAAATTAAATGAATTTTTAGTTAATAAAATTAAAGTATTTTATATATTTAAAACATTATTTTAAAAATTTTTACAGTTTTTTACGATATTTTTTGCCATACTATGTTTTTTTGTAATTATTAATTAAAAAATTATATATTTTTAGGACAGTGTTTTATTTAGATACCCCTACCTACTTAATGTTAATTTAAAATTTTAAATAATTTTGGTTAACATCATACCAGGTAAATATATAGTAAATGCCAATAAACTATAAACCAATAAATATTAAAAATAGAAAGGTAACTTGAATTCGCTTGTATTTGAATTTACTTGTACTTGAATTTACCTACATGAAAAATCAGCAAGTATCATGCAAAACTATTGTCATATACTCTAAAGGCAATTCTCTCTCCAGAAATCAAATCACGACTGGTGAAAGACTGTCTAGAAGACCTGACAGAGCTAAGTAGTTAAAATAAGGTGACCTTAGCCTGGGTTCCAGGCCATGAGGGATATCAGGGCAACGAAAAGGCCGACGAATTAGCCCGAGGAGGCTCAGATAAGGCCATGACAGGCCCCGGACCCTTCTGTGGAGTTGCTAAGGCATTGTGCAAGGCATCCAGTAAACAATGGATGCAAACAGAGTCTCAGGAATGGTGGAACAACTATCCAAGACTGAGACAGGCCAAACAGTTCATCAAGGAACCATCGGTCAAGTTCACGAAAGACCTACTGGATTAAAAGCGTCAAATCGTTAGGATAACAGTAGGCCTTCTTACTGGACACTCAAAAGGCACATGAGTGTCATAAATCCAGCAGAAGAAGTAACTTTGTGCAGGTTCTGTGAAGAAGAAGAGGAAACAATATTCCACGTCCTGTGCCAATGTGAATGCCTGGCTGGAACGAGGTTTCTAACATTGGGCCAAGAAAAGCCAATTGCATGCAACTACATGCGGGAGCCACTGTCAAAGCTACTAAGACTAATAAAAAAAGACCAGGCTAGACGACATACTCTAAAACAAATAGGAGCCCCACAATAGATCTGAAAGGTCGCGGTGGACAAGGACAAATAACGTCCAACTCATAATCTAATCTACCTACATGAAAAAAATCATCATAATTATATTACTAAAAAAATATACCTACATATTTACGTATTTTTTTAACATACTACTCTGACAATACTGGTAAGTTTAAAACTATACGCCACTGGCGAGCATATTATGAACACTGTTTACAACGTTGCCAGCCGGTCATAAGAGATCTGTCTTTCTCTCTTCCACTCACTAACAATTTTAAAACAATAACAGTCCGCAATTGTATGGGATTTATAAATGAAACATTTTGTCTATATGTTGTAATGTCTTTCCTTTAAATATTTAAACGATAAAATATATACCTGTATACAATGAAATGAAGCCACTAACATGTTTTGGTTTAATCCATGTAACTGCGATCATATGGGCAGCTGGCCAGGTAGCTCCCTATAACATAATTACTTGTCTCATTCATGTCAATAAATCTTTCTTATAGAAGTACATATCGGTAATACAAGATGTCATCAAATCATGAATAAAGGACGACACTGATGGTCAAAGGCACAGAGTTAAAAACAAATAGAGCAATAAGATAATTAATTTTTCCTTGTAGAAATAGTCTTGTCAATCTCAGTTATAAAGATGAATCATTTTAATTAAGTACAAAAAATGATAACTTGCCATGAAAATCCCTTGAACAAATCTAATAAACACATGGTACGCAGTTAACCACGAAGCTGGTACCATAACAGCAGGAAC